TATATGCAGACCTTTTAAAACTAAAAAAACAACCACTTGTGAAAGGATATCGAACAAAAAGTAGCACATAAGGCCAAGGCAAATCGTTGAAATAACAATAAATATGTCTAACGAGGATACCTTCTTGATTTTCCGAAATCATGTGTCCCTGCGATTAATTGGGCATAGCGGGTAAGGTCGCCCAGAAAAAGATATATCTTCTGTGCATGTAGATAGACGAGTCTGCGCGTCCTCGATGCTGTCTCAGGTGGTGGTCTGGCCTCTGCTAAAAGAGCGTCAACGTGTACTCGATTTATAGTCTCCACTCGTCGTAATATGCCACGTAACTGAGTTTCACCGGCGAAGGTAAGATCGGCAAGGCAAATACGCCGAATAAGACGAGCAAGCCGTTCAACTTCGGTATGCCGATCGCCTTCAGTGTCAGACAAGCGAACAGAGTGAGTAGGAGGGTCCTCTAAGAGCCTAACCAAACAGATATGAAGCAGATAAGTTCAGGATACATGTGTATAAAAGAATATGCTAAACATTTATAATAAGGCCATAAATTGCGTTGGTGGACAGCAAATTTAGCCTGAGTTTTGAATAGAACTATTGGCACATTATAACAGATCTTTAACTAAGGCAGAAATATAGATAGGAGCAGAATTATGTCGTAAATAAACAGAAACTGTATAAACATTATTATGCAATCTAGATATAATGATGTTACATATCAGTAATCCCATTAAAGAGTTAAAAGCGAGTCAATTTTAAAGTCCTGAGACGATCAGTAATCCTGCAATAGAAATTTCATCACCCCGTGCCGATAAAAATGATTAAATGTCTGATAACCCAATATAAACTAGCCTATTAGTAGTGTATACAGAATGTATAGACCAATAATGGGGAATAAGGAGATAGCGAATCTCTAGCATGAAGGTTAAACGGAAAGAAAACAAGATCCATATGCGGGTAGAATATGCAATCAATGGTACGATGCAGGAAATCACGAATACTATGACGGAGAACGCAGGGTTAGGCACGTTTCATAAGGTCTTCTTGTCGCTCAGACCAAGTCGTGAAGACGAGGTCAAACCAACACTATGCGGTATGACAGTTTAAAAAAGTTGAATGCCTCTGAAAGAATGTGAAGTATGGTGCTTCCCTCATAAATAATAGCTAAGGTGATAGACTAGAATAAGACTAAGGGACTAGAGGAACTTTACAAAAATAGTTGGGCAATTATAACATATTAAAACCAAATTTCTATTCTTGGATAAAAATTTATTTATAACGATGCAAACCTCTGCAACACAATTACCGGTGGAAATTCATACTAGATAGGAATAAAATGTATAGAGTATTTATTGTCAATAATACAATGTAATCAATTTACTATACATGTCATGCATTTACTATCATATAAATGCAAAAGCTTAAGCATATAGGCAAAGAGCAAGTTGGAAAAGAGAAGCCGAACTCCTATATGGAGTTAAGTCAGTGCGTACTTTATTTTAAAACGCCACACCTTAGAGGATGCTTATTAAAAGACCGCATTGTTCCATAAGTGCAACATTTAAATAACCATGATTTTAGGCCTACCTTGTGGCAGATGGGTCCTGAATCCACGATCTAAGCAATTCAATTATGGTATAGAAAATTGATTTCCACATTCCCTGTTCAACATGAGCTGAGTTGCAGAAGTCCAAATGCGAGATAATTATCTATAAAATAAATATAGCAGATAAATTGTAAGATAATAGTATCAGTAATTACAGTGAAATTTTATGCGAATATCAATGTGGGAGTTAATAAAACCAAGAAAATTAATTTTTATTCTATCTCCGACATTAACCTGATATATAAGCATCTTAAGTTTTAAATTAATATAAAATGCG